AATGAACAAGCTTGACTGGATAACCTCTAACGTCCCTTTCAGATAGAAATCCTATGAAGAGGAAGGGGATAATGTGGGGTGGACAGGGTGGAGTAATCTGACAAGGCTGAGAACTGGTACATTTAGAGGAGAAGGAGCAGCAGTTGCCCCAGGAAGAATAGCTTGTCCCAGATGGGAGGCTCAAAGAGAGTAAGAGTTCTGCTTCTGGCCCTTTTCTGCCACACACTACAGTTGGTGCTCTAAGTTAAGGAAGGCAGTTCTCCAAATGTATGTATAGGTTTATATGTGGGTTAAGTTGCATGCTATTAGATTTTTTTGTTTGTTTGTTTGTTTGTTTGGCAGGAGAAGCCTCAGACAATGATTTATTTTACTTCAAGTACTATTGGATAAAACAAAATTCTAGTACATCAAAATTACTTGGAATGCCCAGTAGGGTGTTTTGTAATGGGATTCACCTTGAAATTTAAACTTTGGCTCTCTTTTACTATAGATAGCCCTTGGGTTAGAAACTCTTACTATCGGATGGAGGCGGATTTAATTTGAAGGATTTCATTCCCTTCTCTTGGTTCATAAGCCTTTGCCCAGAAAACCCGGGAAAGTTTCCAGCTTGTATCAATTTATGTACTTAAAAGCTTACAGATTACCGCAGTACTAAATTTGCCATGACACAAAAGGAGTCAATACATTTTGTTGTTTTGCCAACAATATAGGCATTTAAAAAAACAACAACAATACCCAGCTTGCATTCCAAGTTGAATGCAATAATTTTCTGCTAAAATGAGTGTCCCCAAAATGGTTTTCAGTGCTATGGCCATTCAGCAACAGGAGTGCTAGAATTTGGGAGAATGTACCAGGCACAGTGGAAAGCATACTGGCTCTTCAATTAGAGGACCTAAGTTCAAATCCTGCCTCTTGGCATTTACTATGAGTGTGACATTGCACAAGTCACTTAACTTCCCTCTTCTTCATTTTCCTTATCTATAAAATGTGAGAGGGTTGGCCACAATGATCTTTCAGGATCCTTCTGATCCTCCTGGCTTGTTCTTCCTCAATTCCTCCTATTCCCTTGACTAATTTCAATTTAAAAAGCTCTATGGCAGCAAAATGAGAATTCAGAGGGTGTTCTCATACTTTGGAATTGTCGAAGTGTCAGCAGACATCATTACTGTTGATTGGTGGGAAGAAGGGACATGAGGAAACTTCCAGTTGGGACCAGATATCCCCAAATCCCCCTGTATGCCCCATTAAAAGAGCATCCTGTTTTACTTTTAGTGATCTGAGCTTTGATCAGAAGTCACTTGTGAAATGTCTTGAATCAAAAACAAAATCTAACACCAAAAAATCAGAATGGGGAGCCACAAAACTTAAAATGATTCCACCCAATTTTAGCACACGCTGATCAGGAATTGTGTGTTCTTTTTTGAGACAGGAAGAAGGGAATGGAATGACACAGAGCCTAGGATCTGCCCTCATAGAATACCCTTTGTTTGGCATGCATCCTCATTTCCCAAGTTGAGGATGATTGTCATGTTTGAGGTCAACCTTTTGTACATCCACCCACCTAACATTATAATTGTAGGCAGGGAGAATTTTTTTCCCCTACAATAAATTCTATGATGTCCCTAACGTGGATTTGATTCTTGGTACTATAATCTAAAGAACTGGGGGGAGCTTTGGGTCGAAACTCTAATAGCCACTGTTGTGTTCCTTTTTAGGAGTTAGCTTAAATTCTGTTGGAATTTAAGTATGTTAGTATGTTCTAACACTTGGAATGTTCCACTTGTACGGAATATAAGTACCGCCTTTTCCCCTTGGCATGGCCTGAGCAAAGAGATTTGGAGAGCTGGTAGCCTTCCTAATACAGAGGAAAGAACTGTCCCCGTTGGTTGTTTAACTATTGCTTGCTATTTAAACAAAAATGGGTACAAGAGCCCCAGTAGCTTATGTACTAAAACCAAAGTTAATTGAGGGTCAATATGTATCCAGGGAGTGTCATTTTCCTGCTTCTTCTAAAATGAACTGAGCACTAGTTGATAATAATGGTGGCTGATGACGGTCTGATGATGTGATTACAATGTCATCATCATTAGAGTGGCTCATGATGTGTATTACCAATTTTATATGACCACTTCTAGGGGTGTGGGGGGTAAGTTAGCAGTTCTATGGCCTGGTTGAGTCTTAAGTTGTTTCTTCTTATGTGCCGTGCCTCATGAGTTCCCTGTATTCTTGAGAACACTTGGATAGCTCTCAAAGTATAGTTCACATATTACTGCACTGACTTATAAAAACATCCTGAGGCCTGTCAGTGGTAGAGCCAAAAACCAAAGAATCCCTGAGTTGGAAGGGACCTTAGAGGTCCAGTCCATACCTAATCATTGAATTGATCCAGGCACACCAGGACCTACTTCAAAAGTAGTGGTGCAATGGATAGAGCACTGGCCCTGGAGTCAGGAGAACCTGAGTTCAAATCCAGCCTCAGACATTTATTAGCTGTGTGACCCTGGGCAAATCACTTAACCCTCTATTGCCTACCAAAAAAAAGAACAACACAGTAGACTATATTGGCTTACTGTTATAGACACAGAAGGAAAAAGATGAACTAGGGGGAAAGTGTCTTTAGAATTTAAACACATTGGGGCAGCTAGGTGGTGCAGTGAATAGAGCACCAACCCTGGAGTCAGGAGGACCTGAGTTCAAATCTGGCTTCAAACACATAACATTCACTAGGTGTGTGACTCTGGGCAAGTCACTTAACCCCATTGCCTAGCCAAAAAAAAAAAATTTAAACACATTATTAGTGAGTGACTCAAATACCATACTCTAAATTAATAAACAGGAGGCTGGCCCCGTTAATTACCCTATGATTTGGGAACACAGTCATGTTAACATATCTAACTCCATATCAACTGCCTGCGGATGATAGAAAATCTAGTACCTTGTATCTGCTTTAATATTTGAGGGAATATCTGGGCTCTGAAAGTGTCCTAGAAAGGCCTGAGGATTGTTTGTATATTCGATCATTCAGTACAGTTAGACAGTTTCATAGAATCTTAAAACTGAAAGGGTTTTAGTATCTACTTCCTTTCTTTTATTTTATAGGTTAGGAAATTGAGGCCTGGAAAAGTAAAGTGATTTGCCTAAGAAAATAAAGCTAAATAGTGATGATATGAAGACTAAAACTAGCGTTGTCTAGTTAATGGTTAGCAACCACTTTTTAATAAAAAAATTTTCAAGGATGCATACATGCCACACTTTTAAGTTTAATCTGCATTATTAGTCTAAACTGGAGGTGTCAAACACTCCAGAGTGCTAGTTGAACCATATTAAAATGTTATTGGGAAACATCTAACAAAATAAATAAAAATGTTTCCCAATTACATTTTAATAACAAATCTCCTTAATAAAAGGATCTGTTCTGTTTTGACTCAGTCAAAAGGCCACACCCAGGGCCTTAGAGGCCATGGGTGGCCTTGAGGCTGCAGGTTCCCTACCCCTGGTCTAAACAATTAAACAAAACATAAATCAAGCCCTGATTTGTAACTTGCTGATTTCTGAGGTGTCAATGCTCACTGAAAATTTAACAATTGGCTGGCTCTATCACATCCTTTCCATAACCTAGTTTTCTAATCCATTGTTTATACTATTATACCACATTCCTTCTTTAATAAGGCAAGAGTACTTTGAGACATGGAATATGACCAGTGTGGATAGTTTAGGGACCTAAAACTGAAAATAATAAGCTATGAACTATAGGGGGGAAAGGGAATGTAAAGGAATAAGCATTTCTATGGTGCCTGCTATGTGCCAGGCACTGAGCTAAGCACTTTTACAAATATTATCTCTTTTTGATCCTACAGTAGCAGAAAGAGGGCTGAACTTGGGAGTCACAACGCCTGAATTCAAATACTAGATCTACTGCTGACTAGCTCTCTGATCTTAGATAAGTCATTTAAACTAACCAAGTAAACTTTGTATCCTCATCTGTGAAATGGGGAGAATAACACATGCCTTACTGTACCTTCTAGGGTAGAGTTGCAGCAGTCCAATAAGCTAATATCAGTAAAGTGCTTTGCAATGGTAAAGGCAAGAAGGTGCTGAAGCCAGCTAGAACAGGCTGGGAGCCAATTTATGCCTTGGAAATAAGCCATTACTACAAATCAAAGCTTGATTTCTTGTTTTGTTGATTATCTAGACTTAAGAAAGTGATGGAGAAAATGTTAATGGTACAGATTAAACTTATTTTGTGCATATATTCCCCCTTCCCTCCAGAAAGCTGGTTGTTAAACATTACTAGCACACCCCTGGAAAGCACTATAAAAATAAGACACAGAAGTAGCTTCAGCCATCACCATGGTTACAGTTGCCCTCATCCTAAGCAGTAAAACTAATGATAAAATTCACTGAGGAATCTCCCAACTTCTGCCCTTGAGTCAGAGCCAGATTAAAGGTCCCAGAATGTACAGAGAGTAGAGCTGTTATGCAAAGACAGATGTGCCTGCCTGTCCCTTAGCCCTGTCCTAAGTGGAGTGAGAGGGAAGTCAAATGGCGTGGTCAGTAAAGATAACTGATTCAGATTGACACGTCTTTTCTTCTTTCAAACCAATTATCTTCTCTCCTGCAGAGAGAGAGAGAGAGAGAGACAGACAGACAGACAGACACAGACACAGACACACACACACACACACACACACACTGTTATCATTTGGGAACTGTCAAATCATGGGTCTAGCAAATGATCCTTTTTCTAACAGTGAAACAGTGGTCTTGTATGTGTGTGTGTGTGTGTGTGTGTGTGTGTGTGTGTGTGTGTGTGTTTTAATAGCACTTTGCTTTTGAAACCCATATAAAAGTCATGAGACCCATAACATAAATCATTTATGGTTTACCATGATTACTTTCAACACTTGCTTATTTTATAAGATGACCAGGATTTTTAAAAGGCATTTGTAAAAGAGTGTAAAGCTTCTTTCTAATGTATTTCTTTCTTTTCCTTTATGTAGTTCCCTATGTACTGAGGAGCTGTGCAGAATTTATTGAGACTCATGGCATTGTGGATGGAATCTATCGACTTTCAGGAGTAACATCAAACATCCAAAAACTGAGGTATTCTAGCCTTGCAAACCCTAACTCACAGCAGGACCATAACTGACCCCTCCCAAACTGATGAGTGCATTCAGGATCTCTTGGGGCCAGGAATTCCAGGGGTGATTATGGTGCTTTCAATCAAGAGTTTCTGTATCAAGTCCAATATAAATATCTCCAATAAAATGTCTAGGGGAATTTATTTTGCTTCTCTGGATCCCTGATGGGTACATTTGATTTCAGCAAAATTTACTAGCAGGAAATACTAGAGTTATTTTTTCCAACAACAGTAAATTCTTGTTTTGTTTTTTTGTTTTGTTTTGTTTTTATAGAACATTAACACTTATTCTTAATACGTCTCTAGGAAATCCCATTACTGAATTGTGCTAAGTCCTTGAAATCCAAATAGCTATAGAAAGTCCATTAGTGAACTGAAGGGTCTTCCCCTACCTTTCTTGTACCTAACAACAGTTTTGTCTATTTTGGGAACTGTTATTTAGCCATAAAGATAAACTCATTTTAGTTAAATGTTTGTTTTTACGTTTTTAGGCTACTTTAACCATGAATAAAAGAATTGCCAACACAGAATTAGAGATTCTTTCAACTAAGCTAACATGAAAATATTCATCAATTATTCACCTAATAAACATCTATTTACTTAACCATAAACTAGAAAGAAAAAAGACAAGCTTTCCAGCTTTTTCATTTTCCAAATGATTTCTTTCTTAAGAATGGAATAGTCAAAGAATTTTTTTTTCTATAGAAGACATTGCTGCTGAATGCTGGATTATTGCTTCCAAAGACTCTGTCTCTGTTCAAGAGTTTGAGAGATTTGCATTAGATCACTGGTTTGACTTTCTTCAAAAATTCATTAGCAATCATGTATTTTTGCTGGATGCTCAAGTCATAACCAGTTCTTCAGCAGTTAAGGATTGACCCTGTACTGAACACTAAGATTATTGGCAAGAAAATAAACTGACAAGAATGTTGGCAAGAAATTGAGCTGGCAAGAATGTTGGCTAGAAAATCTAGTTGCTTGTTACATTCATTTTTTTAAAATGCCTATAAATTAAATTGGTCATTGCCTTTTTCTCTTTTCAAGGTCTTAGTTCCTTTCAAATTTTAACAGCATCAGAAATTTCATAGCATTTTGTTCAAGGTTATAGAAATAGACCTCAAGGATGGTCAGCATGCCCTGTGTATTTCTTTTTAGCCAATCTTAGGAATATTACCTTGTCAGTTCTGTTTTGTCAAAAGCCTAAACTAGGGGGTCAGCTAGGTGGCACAGTGGATAGGTTCAAATCCAGCCTCAGACATAGCACTTACTAGCTATGTGACTCTGGGCAAGTCACTTAACCCCAATTGCCTCACCAAAAAGCAGAAGGAAAAAAAAAAGCCTAACCTAGCTCTTCTATATTAAAACTCAAAGATCTTATCATATAATTTAGAATTTAACTTCTAGTCTTATGCTATTTTGAGACAATGTGACTTGTATTAGAGTTTATTATTATTATTAATGTATTAGAGGCATTTCATGAATTTGTCACAATAGAGCATGATATTAGGGGCTCATTCATCCCTAGTAGAGCTCCTCTCTTGATGCTAAGGTTTAGAAGGTTTAGAGATGCAGTGTGTCATATGAATAAAGAGCCAGCTTAAAAGCCAGGAAGACTTGAGTTCAGGTCCCACCTTGGACACATACTATACTGACTTTGAGCCCCTGGTCAGTATTACTTAACCTTTCAATGTTCTAAGCAACTATCTAAGGGTATAAGTTGGAAGAAAAAGTGCTGAATTTGTAGTGGACAAGGGAGTTTCCCCTCCTGCTCCCTATACTAATGAAATCACAGATCCAGTCCCTATCTCTATTAATCATCTGAGTTGCTTAGTTTTAGTTCTTAGGTTGGATTTGTGTTGTCATAAACAAACAAAAAACATGTTTGTTGATGATAATATATGGAAATAAGGAAAAAAGAAACGGACCAGATCCACCCTATTTTCTCCTGCCTATTTTCTCCCTACTCCGTACTCTTCCTTTCCCCTTTTCTTTCCCCTCCCCCTCCTCCTCCTTTTCCCTCTTCCCTTCCCATGCCTCTTCTCTTCCTCTTTCCTCTCCTCCCCTCTCTTCTTCCTCCTCCTCTTCCTTTTTTCTTTCTCTTTCCACTCCGTGTCTCTCCTCTCTTTCCCTCTACTCCCCTCCTTTCTTTTTTCTCTCTTTTCTCTCCCTCTCTCTCCTCTCTCTCTCTCTCTCTTCTTCCCTCCCTCTCTCCTTCTGGAACTTATTTGGAACATGTATTAACAACTAAGTTTTTTAATACTTATACTAGCCAAATTGTTTTCATCCCCACTATTTACATCTGAGAAATTAGAGATAGAACTCTCTATGTTAAACTCATTACTAAGTGATTGTTATGTCCTTCAAACCACTGAAGCTCTTTCGGGGGAGTACAGAACTGAACCAAGAGTCTTCCCACAACTTTCCTGTAAAATTTTGCCTAGAATAGAGGATCTTGGGTGGGGGTGAGGTCAAGGTTGAAAGTACAGTTAGATCAGCCATTTCAGGTTGGTGATACTTTTATTCTGTCTGGCCCTGATAGATCTAATTTGTGCTCTTCAGTATTGTTATGTCTCTGTCTGTGTTGTTTCAGGCAGGAGTTTGGCTCAGATCAATGTCCAGATCTGACAAGGGAAGTTTACCTTCAGGACATTCACTGTGTGGGCTCCCTTTGTAAGCTGTACTTTAGGGAGCTGCCTAACCCTCTCCTCACTTATGAGCTCTACGAGAAATTCACGGTAAGCTTTTCTTCTTCAGTTACAGGGAGGTGGGTGGGTAGTATGCATGGATGTTTGCAAAAAGAGGTGATAGCTCTCTTCTCCTTCCAGTTCTGAATCTTAGCGAGTAAGTTGTTTTTTGTAAAGTGGGAAGAAATGACTCACCAATCCAATCTCATAGCTAGAGACTAATTATTATTATTATTTTTGTGAACCCTCAAAAATGCAAGTTATCCCATTTATACTTATCTGTGTGGGTAGTAGGGCTATTTGCTAATTTTTCTTCCTCCATTGCTCTTTGCTTATTTTCCTTTTAGGACTGAAGAAAGAGAAGAGAAAGGGCCCGGGGAGGAGGAAACAAAGTGGAGGGGGAAATGAGAATAAAGAAGGACAGAACAACAAGGGAGCCATTCAGGCTAGGCTTGTATGGAGAAAAGCTGTTAGCAGAACATGTAGTCAGTTGAGATATAGCAAATAAACAAGAGTTAACTAAAAGAAAAGTTGCAGAAAGAAGTTTTGTTTTTAAAGGGCAGGTATAGTGAACAAATTTGATGCTGGAAAAAAATTTGGGAAAATGCACCTCTGTTCTTCTTCCCTTTGTATAGATGGGGGACTGTGAATGTGGAATATGGCTTAGATTGTCAGATAAGACTGATACATTCATTTTCTTAAAGTGCTTTTTTTCCCTCTTTTTTTTAAAATCTTTGTTATAAGGACTAGCTTGTTGGGGAACAGAGGAAAGAGACATAAAGTTAGAAAGAAGTTTAGTAAGACAACATATTAATAACAATAAGATTTGTTAAAAACCCAGCTTCGAAACTTGGGCTTAAATTCTGAAAAAGGAAAACCGCCCATAATAAACCCACCTAGTAGGCAGCAATCAGGAACCTGGGGCTTCAGGTTAATATGAATGGTAAAATCACAAATGAGTAACAACCCATTCTTCAAATCCTAAGCACAGCTACAAAGCAAAGAGCCTTCTTCCTGTGGGCACACTGTGCTTCCATATTGACTTCCAAAGCTATGTCCGCAGGTAAACCAAAGTCACAGCCAGTAATCATCCTCTTTGAATGGGATAAAGGTAGAATTCCATTTGATCAAATTTAACAGTGCAGAAGTACAGAAGGACTGGGAGGTGTAGTGGAAGCAGCATTGGCCTTGGCACCACAAGACCTGCCTGGCCTTTAATCCTAGCTCTCCTACTTTCTAGCTGTGTGACCTTAGGAAAGTCACAACATCTCTGACCCTTAGATTCCTCTTTTATAAAATGAAGATAGTAATACCCACTCCGCCCATTTCACATTGTTATGAGACCTAGGTTAAAAGATAACCAAGGTAGAATGCTTTGAAAATTCTAAGGTGCTACATAAAAATAAAGTTTTTTCATATAATCCAATTTTATTTATAGCTAATATGAATTATCTAGTTTTATTTAAATAGGGACCAATTATTCTCTTGTGTAGAGAGGACAATTTACGGATGGAGACAAAAGGAATGTCACTGTCTGACCCTAACTTTGCCTCATTGTCAGGGTGCACCAGCTCTTCCTTTCCAATCTCAGAAGGGGACCTTGACTTCTGCCCCAAGGCTTTTATTTTTTTTAACTGAGATTTACTAAGATTCTCTTGTCCTTTTCTCTCTTCTTTGTTTTTGTTTTGTTTTTGTGAGGCGATGGGGTTAAGTGACTTGCCCAGGGTCACACAGCTGCTAAGTGTCTGAGGCCAGATTTGTACTCAGGTGCTCCTGACTCCAGGGTCAGTGCTGTATCCACTGTGCCACCTAGCTGCCCCAGATTCTCTTATCCTTGAAGCCCAGCCTGAAACCTGAGGCTCCTGAAACTTCTCACACCTATACCTGTCTTCATTCCCTCAGTTTAGGGATCTCCTTCATATAATTCTTATTACCTGTCTCCCTACCCAGATCACTTCCCAGCACCCACCAACTGCTTTCATTCACTACAGACCATGGATACATTTTCTTGTGTTTATTAAATAAGGAAAAGAAAGGAAATGTGTGCTTCTATACACATTTAAAAATATATGCAGGGCAATGCAGTTAGAAATGTGTATAGTCTATATTATCCCATGCCCTCAACTTTTTCTAAGTCATCCATCTAGTCTGATGTAGCCAAAAATGGTGTCAACTGTATCTGTAGATGAGAATGGCCTCACTTTAGAACATTGCCTGCTCACCCCCAAGACAAATGAGATTCTCCCACGTGGGAATGATTTTATTGGTTGATTGGTACGGTTTCCCAATCTCAAGCTCACTCTTAGCCAGTCAGGAGGCTTTCTGAGAGCATGGATGGATCCACTTGTCCCAATCCAAAATATTATGTAATTCTTGACTTCATTTTCCCCCTTCCCCCCAAGCAGGGGACAAGCAAGGACATACAAACAGGTACATTAGCTTTTAATTTTTTAAAAACTGTTTTGGTTTTTTTCCCCAGGGACATGTTAAAACAATTTTTAGCACTTTTTTTTTAAAGTATTGAGTTCCAAAATCTATTCCTTTCTCCCTCCCTCCTGAGAGAGTAAGCAATTCAATATAGGTTATACATGTGCAATCATGTAAAACATTGCCATATTATTCATTTTGTACAAGAAGACTCGAACCAAAAAAAAAAAAATGGAGAACGAAAGTGAAAAATAGCACGCTTCAGTCTGTATTCAGAAAACATCAGTTCTTTCTCTGGAGGTGGATAGCTTGTTTCATCATTATGGTATCAACCTTTATGTGTAAATCAAAACAAGTACGTTAGCAAAAGTTCCTATCACCCTCACAATCAAGAGTCAGCATGACTCACGGGTCTCCCCAAGACTTCACAAAAGACATATTCTCGTTTTCCTCCCCAAATTACCAAACAGAAAGTGAAATAGGGGTATGGGTTGGGGGAGGGTAGTGGCTAACAGAAACTAGTGTCTTCTGTTTCCTCAACTTAGCCTCAGTGATGTTACTCTTAGTATAGGGTCCTGCAGTCTTTGTTCACAAAAGAGAAAAGGAGATAATCCCCTCCTCATACTCCAATTCACCTTTGCTCCCTTGGCTCATGATAGAGAGGCACCCTTGAAGCCAGGAAGACCTGGGTCCTCTGTCACATATTGGCTCTGTGATCTTAAAGAAATCACAACCTCTCTGTTTCCTTATCTGTAAAATGAAGAGGTTGGATTCAGGGGCCTTTAAGATTGCTTCCAGCTCTAGGATTCTATGGCATTCAGTCAAGCTCACCCCCCATCCAAAGCCTCCTTTAGGAATGACTCTACAAACTGGGTTACTAGTTAGATTCAGTCCAGCACCCTCACCCTCAGTCTCCGGTCAGCCTTCTCCTCTTTCATTGAACAATAGTTCACTATGGACAATTGAGTTTGTTGAAAATAGAAGCCAACTGTTCCCTTTCCTTTGGCCAGCTTACTGTCCTGTCTCTTCACAATGGTAGCATACAAGCTTCATATTCCGGGCCTCAGCTTCCTCACATGTAAAATGAAGGGGTTACACTAGATGCTTTCTGGGGTATCTGCAAGTTCAAAATTCCTTTAGCCTGGTTAGCTCCTTGGGACACACTGGAGCTCTTTCATCTCATACTCCTGAGGATCAGTGTGCCAGTGTCAGTAGGGTTGGATTTGGAGTCAAAAGACCTGGGTTCGAATCGTGATTCTGCCACACACTACCTGTGTGACCTTGCGCAAGTCACTTATTCCTTTCCTGCTTCAGTACTTTATCTGTAAAGTGAGAGGTTGGGAATAGATGACTTCTAAGACCTGTTCAATCTCTAAATCTGTTGTTCTATGCTCTGAATCTTAATTTGAACCCTCTTTGAACTTTGAATCTGCCTGGTTTATTTAATTCAGGGATTCATTCTGTTCTGGTTAGCTGTACACTACCATGTCCAAGTGTCCTTTTCTAGAATCCTTTCTATTCTGTATCCACACACTTTAGACCAAAAGAGACTCTTTTCTAGGGTTTATTAAACTAGAGAAAAGTATGTAAATAAAGGAACAGTATAGCAGAGTAAGGTGATTAAAAATTAATATGTAAAATTAATCCCAGATTAGTTGATGGTCTTAAATTTTTTGGGGGGGTGGTCTAGACAATGGCGTTAAGTGACTTGCCCAGGGTCACACAGCTAGTGAGTGTTTTGTGTGTGAGGCCTAGATTTGAACTCTTTTGATGGTCTTCCTAAATCCAGGGTCGGTGCTCTATCCACTGCGCCACCTAGCTGCCCGGTCTTCACTTTTTGAACTATTCTCTCAGACCTAGCTTGTCCATCTTGATTCACAACTTCATCCATGTTCCTCATGGCCCCAGAAAAGAATGGGTTCTTCAATCTAGAGCACCCACCCCCATCAGAATTTTAACCTCATCCCTTTGAGCACTAGTCCATTCTTCCATTCTTAGGATCATTCTCAGCTAATCAGGAAGCTAGTAGTGGCATAGTGGATAGAACGCTGGACCTGAAGTAAGGAAGATCTGAATTAAAAGTTAGGCTCAGACATTTGCTTAACTGTGTCACCCTAGCCAAGGCATTTGACCTGTGTCTCACTCAGTTTCCTCATCTCTAAAGTGGTCTGGAGGGGTAAAAGGCAAACCACTCCAGTATCTTTGTCAAGAAAACCCTAAATGGGGTCACGAAGAGTTGGACACAACTGAAAAACAACTGAAAAGCAAGAAAAAAAATCAGGATAATAATAGTACTTACATTCCAGGGTGGTTGTGAGAATAAAGTGAATTAATATCTCTAAAGGGCTTTGTGAATGTTAAAGTACTATGTAAATGCTAGCTATTGTGGTAGGTTTATCATGGTCTGTCCATAGTATTATATATTCTCTTAGTTAATGAGATATCTAATTTTGCCTCCATCCATTAAAGGACAAATAAAGAAATAAAATAAATATATTAACCTGGTTTCCATCATCTCACACAATTAGAATAAATTGACCTGAAACACCCTCCCCAACACACATTTCACAAAAGACTCCCCCTAAACTCTCAAGTTCCCTTTATCTGGTCTCTTTGTGTGTTTTCTTGCTAGAAGACTTAGTATCTTCCCCATTTCACTTGCATGACTTTTCTAACCAGCATGTTCTATTCTCCACATGCAACAGAATACTGCAACTAAAAACAGATACAACTTTTTCTCATCTCTCTCGGTATATTTTTTCAACTAATAAAAATATAATATTCTCTCCTTTCCACCTCCTTCATCTTCCGTCTCCTTCTTTGGAAAGAAAAAGAAAAATCTTTGCAATAAATATTTATGGTCAAACAAAACAGATTAAAACTGTATACCTCATCTGGTACCCTAAATCCATCAACTCTCTGTCAGGTGGTGGATAACATGCTTCTTTTTTTGGTGGTTGGCCATTGTAGTGGTCAAAGTTGTCAATTCTTTCAAAGTTATTTGTCTTTACAATATTGTTGTTATTAAGTTGTTCTGGTTCTGCTTGCTTTTCTTTGTATCAAGTCATACAAGCCTTCCCAGGTTTCTCTGAAACCATTCCTTTCATATTTTCTTGTGACAATAATTTTCTATTACCTTCATATATTATAATTTGTTAAACTCCTTCCCAATTGATGTTTCCAATTCATTGTCATTACAAAAAAAGCTTCTACAAATATTTTCATACTTATGGATCTTTTTCCTTTCTTTCACCTCTTTGAAACATAGTCATTATAGTGGTATCCTGTAGACAAAATCTTAATTATCTTAATACTTATATCTAAATATACTATATTTAGTATATAGTAAATATACTAAATATCTTAATACAAATCTTAATACTATTTATATTGTTTTCAGAGACACATAGTTAACATGACAAGTAAAAATACTCAGGTGACAATGTCTTTGATATAAGGTTTACTTAAACATGGACAAGAGACCAGCAAAAGAGGATTCAAGAGGATTAGTCTAGTAGAGACTTCTTTATAATTAACAAAGCATATTGCAATGAACCTTTGCCTTGAACATGCACATATTATTCACTTATTATATATGACAATGATCATGTTTAATAGTGTTTATCAAGTTTAGAATAACAAAAAATAAATTATAATAATTATAAAGCAGCTAGTTGACATAGTGCATGGAGTACTGGACTTGGAGTCAGGAAGACCTGAGTTCAAATCCTGCCTCAGACTTATTATCTGAGTGGCTTTGAGCAACATGCCTTAGTTTCCTCATCTGTAAAATAGGGATAATAAGAACATCTACCTCTCAGGATTGTTGTGAGGATCAAATGAAATAATAATTTTAAAGTACTTTGCAAACTTTAAAGCATTTTATAAATTACAGGTAGTAGTAATAGTAGTACTGGTAGTATAGTAGTAGTAGTAGTAGTAGTAGTGATGGTGGTGGTGGTAGAAGTAGTAGTGGTGGTGGTGGTGGTGGTGGTATAGTGTAGTAGTAGTGGTGTAGTAGTAGTACCAGCAACTGTTGTTCTTGTTGTAGTACAGAGAGAGAGAGAGAGAAAGGGTGAGAATATTGGACCAAGAATGGAATATGTCCCCAGAATCAAATTTTGTGACCAGATGCTCTAGACTCAAAGTGACAGGTAGTTATTTAAAAACAAAAGCAAATAAATGCCAGTGTCCCTCAATATGCTTACAGGAAGGGAGGCTGAAGGAGTATGAGTATTCAAAATAAAAATTTTTAATGTGTGAAAAGAAAGAAATGAAGTGATATAAAAAACAAAAGATAAATAAGAAGAGAACATACCCTTAAGAAGGCTAATTTCATTCCACTTTTAAGTGGGGGGAACTGAGGACGTCTCTGTGTGCACACATCCAGGGTGTCTCTCTTTCACTGAACTCTTTTCACATTTTTCCCTATAGCAAGCAGTGTCACACTGCCCAGAAGAAGAAGACCAATTGGCCCGAATCCAAAATGTCATCCAGGAGCTTCCCCCACCACATTATAGGTAAGCATCCTTTATCATTATTGCCATCATCATTTATATTAATTAAGTCATTAATTAATTATTAATGATCAGCAATAGTAAAATAATTAAAGATACCAACATCTCATAGAGAAGGCATGTAATCTGTGTGCCTTCATTGCATTTCTATAGCAATTCAAAGTTTATAAAGCATATTATATGCATTATCTCATTTGAGCCTCAAAACAACCCTCTGAGAGTACTTTTAGATATCAGTATCCCCACTTACCCATGAGGTAACTGAGGCCACGACACACAGTAAATTTCAGAGGCAGGGTTTGAACCAAGGTTTCTGGAAGATATATTCAATATTCTATGCATTATAACTCCCTCCCCCAAAGTCTCTTACACTCAGGTAAAAGGCACATAGTGTTGCTACCAGGTCCTCCATGGCAGTGTATTTTTGATGATGAAATTGGCCTAGCAAGTATGGTTCAATATCACATCCTACCAGGGTCACAGAATGGGAGGGAAGCTTTTAATATGGGAAGATGGGGTTTGTACAGGTTTGAGGTTCAGAGGAGCAATAGCAGAGTTTAGGGTGTCAGGACAAACTGAAGGGAACAGGTGAGATCAGAAATCTTGGTAGGTAAACCAGTGCACATGGTACCTGGGAGAAAATGAAGTTTGAATAGACTGGGAAGAACAGCTCAGTGTTTAGAATGGGCAAAAAGATAACAACACAGCCAGAGCTGGTCCTGGGACAGAGACTGTTTTCTGACTTGGTTCCTAATATTTTTCTTAGGACCTGAAGATGGGTGCTGCTCTCTAGGGAGTGGAAGGTGATACTATAGATGAATACTGAAGGAAAGTAGAAATTCTAAGTGGTGTAAATGAGGAGGGATGCCATTCTAGGCCTGGGGGACAGCCAGGGCAAGAGCATAGAAATGCATGTGGAGTGTCCTATTTGAAAAACTGCAAGAAAGTTAATCTGGCTAGAGTGCAGAGTTCATGGAGGGGAGTAATGTGTGGTCAGACCAGAAAAGTGTGCTGGGTCCAAGTTGCAAAGAGTTTTAAATGTCAAACACAAACATTTGTCTTTGATCCTAGAGGTAATAGGTGGCCTGCTGTAATTACTAAATAGAGGGGACTATTAATCTTGAGGAAGAGAGGAACTGAAAATAAATTAAGGAATTGGGCCCAAACATTCAAATTTAACAAATATTTATTAAGTGCCTACTATGTGCTGCAAAACTCTATGAGCTAGGGCTCTGAGGATATAAAAATGAAAAAAATGACACGAGCTTATCTCCCAAGCAATTTAAAATAATGACAAGAGTAACTATTCAAATAAAGTTTGCCAGGCCTTTACATAAATCATCTCATATGAATCTCACCACCCTGTAGCGGAGGCAGAGGAAGCACACAAATCTGCTAGCAGAGATATACCATGTACACAAATGAGGCAGGATGCATTAGGAAACACAATTCAAGTTCTCCAGGAAAAAAAGAGAAGAGAGAAAAACATTTTTTTCAGAGTGAGTTGAGTCTAGTGCTTTGAGCCCTTTACTGGCTCTCCAATAAGGTAAACTTCTTACTATTGCCTTCAAAGTGCTCCAGTGGCTAATGCTCACCCACCTATTGGTTTTCACCTCTTCTGGCCCCCCAGCCCACACCCAAACCTTCCTTCTTCCTGCCACCAATGTCTTTTTCCTTCCTTCCTCAGTCTGCTTGGATCATCCCCCAAATACTCAGAGTAGCCTTTTTGTTCCCATCCACCATGCCACGTTCTTCTTTCCTTTAGATTACTGCTCAAGACCCAATCTGACAGCAATCCAATCTAATAAGCATTTATTAAGTGCCTACTAATTATAAAGGACTTCACTAAGCAAAGAGGATGCAAAAGCAATATGGAAAGTTATCCATACCTTCAAGAAATTTACATTTTACTGAGTCTTTCTCCTTCTGGAAATTTTTGTCCACCTTAGCTTGACAGCCTAGATTAGGATTTACACTTTTCTTTTTGCACTCATAAACATTTTACATCTCCTCCCAAAGCGTTCCTCTTAGAAGCACAAGACCTGACCAGCCCCAACCCCTTTAATCACATATACTGAGTTGCATCTTATGTTGATTTTATATTTGTCTTGCTGTTGACTTTACATATTTATAGAGGGCAAGAACCATGATCTGTTCCAGTTACGCACCCCAAGTGCATTACCTTTCTCTTTTGGACTCAATACTTACAACAGAAACCCATGGGAAGGTCAGTGTTAGGGAACAAAACTAATAACTAATTATGAATGAGAGAAGTGCCTTTCCTGTCTAACACTTGAGTGTACAAGGGCATGATTAAACCCACAATAAAACCAAAACAGTGGCAAGAAACAAGAAAGTTTTTTTAAGTCCAACTTCAATAACACCAATAACAACGTTTTTGTTGACATGTTAACTGATCTTGCCCTCGTCCCTCAATCACGGTTCTTGCTGCCCCATTTGGCCCTGCCACTGAAATCATCCACACCTACAGTTCATTCTTACGACTTATTCCTTTTATTTTACCATCCTTCTCTTACCCTTCCTCACCATTCTCCCTCACAGCCTCACATACATTTTCCCCTAGAACTTGTCCCTGACTATTTTGCTTTAGGGCACAGCTAAGGTGTGACAGACCTGATTCACAGAATAATGGAGTGGTACAGTTCCCTCATTTTAAGCCTACAGAAGCCAAGCAAAGTCTTTTCATGACCTGTGCCATCCTGCTTAGAGCAGAGAATTACATTCAACATGCATTTATTCAATTCTTAATATGTACAAAGGGATGTATTAAGTGCTAGAGATAATACAAAGCAAGGCTTAATTAATACAGCATCTGCTCTAAAAGAGCTTACATTCTCCTGGAAGACTGATTACCAATGATATCATGAGATCTTCCTGACATTTCTCCAACATTCCTGGGATAAGCATCCTCAGATACCCCCTTTAAATCTAAACTTTGAAATTATCTACAGATTACAAGATTCACACAGGCATTGAAGTTTTTTACTTTATCAAAAAATGAACCATTACAGGACCTTGGAATACCTGATCAGGCACCTGACCCATATCGCCTCCTTCAGTAGCAAGACCAACATGCACACCAGGAACCTTGCATTGGTGTGGGCACCAAATCTTCTCAGGTAACATCTTTGCATTAACTCAAATTTTTAAAAACTGGTCAATGAATTGGTGCAAAACAAAATCAGCAGAAACAAGAGACAACATGATGACTACACAAATCCAAATGAAAACTACTCTAAAAGTCTGCTGAACTCAGATTAATTATCATGGCAAATATTGATCCTAGGAAATGAATGAAATTCATTTCCCTCCTTCACTCGAATGTTGCACACCCAGTTGAATGGTACTTGATGATACTTCGTTTTGTTGATTGGTTTTGCTTAAATGTTTTTCTTTGTTACAAGGGAGGGTTCAATGGCAGTGGGGGGCAGGGGAATTGGGAAATGACTTTGTTATAGAAAACTTAGGGGAGGAGGAATCAAAGGACAACCCCCTCCCCCAAAAAGTAAACAAACAAGCAGTCAATGAGTTCAATGCATCCATTATGGGAAAATTCAAACAGGAGATCATATAAAAGCTAAAACCCATTTTAAATTTTCTCATTTCAACTAACTAAATCAAGAGGAAATGATTAGTAAGTCTTGGAGTGTCTGTTTGGTTTAAATTGACTTTGATGGCAAATCTCCTTCAACAGCTAATTCGGAAACATCTGGGACCAGATGGAGTTTTCTCATCCTAACTACGGTAGAATATAGATAGACTCATGGGTCATCTCTCAAGAAAAACTTTCTAGTCTTTGTGTGTGGATGACTGGCTATTCTCATCTTCATGGAGTCAATTTTAACTGGCTGAAACCCAGAAGGTCTGCTTACTGAAGGAAAAAGACAGGCTCCTATTACTTAGTGAATGATGACAAGCCCTTTAGAACAATAGGGGGAAAGGCTCTTTGAAGGGAAAAAAATCTACTTCCTTGTTACTTACTTGTACAGACTGTTTTGTTTTTAAAAGCCCTCTGTGAATAGTTGACTCTCAGTACCTACACCTAGTAATGGTAGTTATATAAAACATGTTTACTGTGTAATAATTAGAATTAGCTGCCTGATTTTCAATCAACATTCATTTATTAAGCATCTACTCTGTTCTAGGCTCTAGGGACACAGACAAAAATTAAACTCATGACCTTACATTCTATTGGGGGAGACCACATGTTCATCCAGAATAAATATGAGATGGTTTTGGGAGAGAGTGCACTAACATCTGGAAAGGCTTCATGTACAACAGGGGTTCTTCATATTTTTCTTGTAATATATCTCTTTGGCATTCTGGTGAAGCCTTTTGACCACTTCTCAGAAAAAAATGTTTTTAAATTAATAAAACAGGGGCAGTTAGGTGGCGCAGTGGATAGAGCACCAGCCCTGGAGTCAGGAGGACCTGAGTTCAAATCCGGCCTCACACACATAACACTTACTAGCTGTGTGACCCTGGGCAAGTCACTTAACCCCATTGCCTAGGGGCCCCCCCAAAATTAATAAAACAAAAGAAACAAAGGAAATATAATTATCAAAAACACCAAGTTCACAGACTATAGATAAGAACCCCTGATGGAGAAAATGGCATTTGACCTAAGCTTTGAAGGAAATAAGAGATTCTTAGACACACAGGTAAGCTTGGGATGCGTTACAGGCATAGGTTACATCTAGGTCAAAGGCTTGGAGGTGGGAGGAATAGTGTTGTGTGAGGAATATCAGGTAACATCTTTACATTAACTCAAATTTTTAAAAACTGGTCAATGAATTGGTGCAGAACAAAATCAGCAGAAACAGGAGAATCAACATGATGACTATACTCTAAAAGTCTGCTGAACTCAGATTAATTTTCACGGCAAATGCCAATCCTAGGAAATGGATGAAATTCCAATGGTAAGGAGGCCAGCATGGATAAATATTGGGTCTGTTAGTCAACCCTAGCTGCATCATTATACAGGTTAGCAAATGTTAAAAAACTGAGGGATTTGGCTTATAGGTCCTTTCTGCTTAACTTTTTCTTTCCTATCTCCTAATGCACTGCTATTCACTGTATATTTTCCCTTATGCCTTAGGTCTAAGGAAATTGAAGCTATTGGCTGTAATGGAGATGCGGCCTTTCTTGCCGTCCGAGTCCAGCAGGTGGTGATTGAGTTTATCTTGAATCATGTGGATCAAATTTTCAGCAGCTCATCCTGCTCCATAGAGAATGATGGTAATCGTTTATCCTGACATTTGTCACGTGACCTTGTGGCCCATCCCAGTCTTTCTTTGCTATAGCAGTATAAGGCAGAAACAAGTTGGTACAGGAATGGAATCCAAACCTGTGTGTCTGTTCCATACGTGGCCCCGTGCATTTAAGATTTGTTGGGCCTTGCCGTGCATATATCTGTGTCTGCTGCATGTGTGTGACTTATTTGCAATTGATCTTTGCATGTTTCTGTCTGTTCCGTCATTCATGGCTTGCACCTGTTGTATATGTGGTCCCTGTGATATAGTTAGGGACAACAGGATTCATGCAATTATTGTGGTCATAGTGATTTTTCTAAGCTATTTACAAGGTTGATTTAATGTTCAAGAACATTGAGCCCATTCTTCTGTTTCAATGCTTAGCTGCATTTTTATTTCTTCATCTACCATCTCAGAAGATGTCATTGCCTTCTTCTAGATCACTTAAGTACAAGAGCTAATCAATTAACCAGTCAAAAGGTATTAGTGCCCACCGGGAGTTGGGAGACACGCAGACAAAAATGAAACTTCACCATCTCACTAACACTGGGGGAGACCAAAGGTATAAACAAAATATATAGGGACTGGATCTGTGATGTCATTGGTCTAGGGATTTCCTAAATGAGAAAACCTCCCATAGGTCACCACCTTCTCCGCTGCTTAGAACAATAAGGGTGACTTGACAATAGTCATCTAGGTTGTATGTTTCAGAGTTAAGATTTGACCCCAGGTATTGCTGGCTTCAAGGCCAGCTCTGTCCACTATACCACTCAGCCTCCCTATGTACAAAATAAATGGAAGGGAATTTGAGGAAGAAAGGCAATCAGCTTAATGTAGACAGTGGCATTTGAAGGAAAGTAAGTGTTGTAAGGGGCTAAAATGAAACAAGATCACATTTCAGGGATGGGAGACATTCAATACAAAGGAATGGAGATGGGACATGGGTTATTTCATTGGAAGATCAGTAAAAAGGTCAGTTTGACTGGACTGTGGAATGCAAAAGGGTAAGGATTATGGCCTCGGGCTCCTTTTATTTCTCCCCGAGGCTTGGGAAAATATGGGTCCCATGGTCTGAAGTGGAGCCGAACCTACAAGGAAGGGTTAAGTATTACAACTTCGGAAGTTAGAAAAATGCAAGAAACTTCATGTGACATTGTAAAAGGAGGATAATAATTGCACCTACCTCCCAGGGCTTTTGTAAGGATCAAATGAAATAACATTTATAAAACATATTGCAAAGCTTTAAGCACTATATAAATGCTAGCTCTTGTCAATTAGGACTTTTAGTGAAGTTCCTGACTTTAGTTACCCAATAAATGACTGAACTGATTAAATTGGAAAAAGACTTAAAATTTTTTTTTTGAAAGTTTATTTAATTCTCCTCCAACATTTGTCCATGTTATTTGCATTCTTATAATTTATGACCTTGTTGATCACTTTTTAGGAGCATTGTAGAACGTCAGGTATGGTTACAGTTTTGGTAATGTTGGTCAGGAAAAGGGGACTCTTTTGGACTAGACTTTATGGGTTATAGCTATTGGTGAGTTTATTGCAGGTCTAGGGTCTGGCCTTTGTAGGTTTATTCTGTGCATAGACAAACTAGGGGCAACCAGGGTCTGGAGAAACTGGCTTATGCTATCCAAATTCACATGAGATTGATTTAAATGCTAAAACACCAATTTATCAATTGGCGCGATTAATCTCATACAGATGTAAAAAAAAATATAGCTGCCTAGATACTAAAATGTTTATGCTGGAAGAGCCCAATCTCTTCCCAGTAGGCAACCTTACTTGGGAAAACAAGTTAATAACCAGAAGATTGGTTGGTAAATAAAGCCTCCAGGAAAGGGAATTATATGACTTCCTGGGATATTTCCCATATCAGGTCGTGATGTTCTCATCAGTCACTGCTCTCCTGGGGATAATCTGCCTGGCAGATTGGCATACTGGGCACAGGGCCCTCTCTCCCTGCTCAGTGCTAGAAACACATGAACAATTCTTACACTCCAAAGCTGCCTTTGTTGACTCCACGATGACTGCTAGGATCATAACTGCTGTGAATTGTTGCTTTAACGGTTTTTGCTGAGTTAAGCCTGTTTAGATTTCTAAGAGAAGTTAAGTCTAGAGCTGATTGGGACCTTCAGAGCTCTTGGTTTGATATGGCTTAGTTGGGTCTCAAGTACAAATACAACCTCCTCATTGTACAGATGAGGAAACTGAGGCCCACAGATGTTAAGTGTTTTGCCAAAGGTCACATTGTTAATAAACAGAAGAGCCAGGATTTGAACTAGTTTCATAACTAGATGATACCTTTTTTTAAAATATCAATTTCACTTTCAATGAGTTGTTGCTGTTCAGTTGTGTCTGACTCTTCATGACCCCATTTGGAGTTTTCTTGGCAAAGATACTGGAGTGGTTTACCATTTTCTTCTCCAGCTCATTTGACAGATGAGGAAAGTGAGGCAAAAAGGGTCAAGTGATTTGTCCAAGATCACATAGCTAGTAAGTGTCTGAGGCCGGATTTGAACTTACAAAGATGAATCTTCTTGGCTCTAGGCCAGTCACTCTGTCCATCGTGCCACCTAGCTAGCTGACTTTTACTCACCAAAGTGAGTCAGTGTAGTCATCTAGGTTGTATGTTTCAGAGTTAACATTTGACCCCAGGCATTGCTGGCTTCAAGGCCAGCTCTGTCCACTATACCACTCAGCCTCCCTATGTACAAAATAAATGGAAGGGAATTTGAGGAAGAAAGGCAATCAGCTTAATGTAGACAGTGGCATTTGAAGGAAAGTAAGTGTTGTAAGGGGCTAAAATGAAACAAGATCACATTTCAGGGATGGGAGCTTAATCTCCAATTTCTCTGTGAATGAGTGACTTCTGGGAAATTTTGTGTGTGTGTGTGTGTGTGTGTGTGTGTGTGTGTGTGTGGAAAGGAAAGAAGGCACTTACTATATGTACTGGGTACTGTGCTAAGTCCCTTACTTATAGTTCATTTGATTCTTATAACAACCCTGGGAGGTAGATGCTATTATTATCCCCATTATACAGTTAAGAAAACAGGTAAACAGAGGTTAAGTGACTTGCTCAGGGGCACATACCTAAAAAGTTTCTGAGATCACATTTGAACTCAAGTCTTTCTGACTCAGACCTGACACTCTATCCTCTGTACCACCTAGCTGCCTATAAGACACACTATATGACCAATTATTAGTCATAAAATTTGTCCCTTAAATTTTTTGGTTTGCCTCAGTTTATTCCTTGTCCTAGATCTTATCTTTCAGGCTTAATTCAGTTCCTGTATCTCCTGCTAAAGTGCATCTCACAAAAAGTACCTTTGCCCTTACAGAATCTTTGATCTGGAAAAAATTCCAAGGCCATCTAGTCTAACCTATATCTGATCAAGAAGTCCATTTATATTCTTCCTAACAAGTGATCAACAAAGTCACAAATTATAAGAATACATATACCATGGACAAATGTTGGAGGAGTGTTAAATAAACTTAAAATATTAAGCCTTCTTCCAATTTAATCAGTTTAGTAATTTATTGAGCAACTAAAGTCAAGAACTTCCCTAAAAGCCTTTGTTAATAATAGCCAGCATTTATAGTACTTAAAGGTTTGCAAAATGTTTTATAAATGTTATTTCATTTCATTTCATTCTTACCACAACCCTGGTAGGTAGGTGCTATTATTATTCCTTTTTACAGATGAAGAAACTGAGGCACAGAGACGTTAAGTGACTTATATCTCATCACTTAGCACAGTGCCTGGCACATAGTAGGCAACTTAATAGATGTTTATTGATTGATTGACTTGTTTATTATCACATACCTAGTGAGTGTCTGAGGTAGGATTTAAAGTCAAGTCTTGTGTACTTCAAGTCCAAGACTCTTTCTACTCTGCCACCCAGCTGCCTCACTTACACATAAGTGACTTTTAAGAATCATATTAAAAAGTTTTCATATTCATTAATCAATACCTAAAATTATTCTTCTACCTTGAATTATAGGACATACCAGCTTAGTATACAGGCATGGCATTCATGGTATCTCTGTGATCAATATAATTTCACAATAAGATCAATGATATATTATAACCAAAATATTATTACTCAAGTAAAATTACTTTAACTTTGCACATCATAACACTGTCCACCCAATCACCCATTCATAACTTTATTGCTATGGAGCTAACAGACCCCATTAATATCATTTCAGCTAATATTTTATGTTTGTGGGAAAAATAACAGCATTAGGAGGAGAATACTTTTATACAATTTTAACTTTCCAAGAAACTCTTTATCTGAAGCTTTGGATCTACTTCTCCATAGGAAGGTCATGCTATAATAATATGTAATATAATAATCGATCATCAAGAACTTATTAAGAATTACTATGTACCAGGTCCTGAGCTAAACTTTGAGGATACAAATACAAAAATGAGATTGTTTTTGCCTTTGAGTAGCTCATATTATATGAGAATAGAATGCTCTATGTAGTATGTCATGCTGTACATAAAGATGGTCATGTTATACATACTATGAGTAGAGCTATTCATAGAGTGTTTTCTTAGTAGTTCATTGAAGGTGTTACAGAGCCTCCTGGGTTTTCAAAAATACACACAGTAGTTCCCAAAGACTGAGAAAAGGTCAGCCTGAGGCTCTTCTATTTATTAAAGAAAAAATAGGACTCTGGAAACCAGTGACAATCAGCATCACCTTCCTTTCTAAGAAAAATCCCAACATATCATAGCACCTCATAGACACCTAGAATGCTCCTGAGTATTTTGTTTAGAGCAATATCTTTGTGAGTATATCTCTTTTCCCCCCATAGGTTTATAGACCTGGAGTTAGAAGGGATCTCAAAGGCCGTCTACCAACCCTTCATTTTACAGATGAGGAAACTGAGACTCACGGAGTTTATGTGATTGATTATGTGGTCGCATGCTGTCATCACCTGGTGCCCTTCTACACAAGAATAGTAAACTTGGTAGATCAGAGCAAATCAAAGCAGAAATACAGTTATGTTGTTCATTGTGATCCCATTTTGAGGTTTTCTTGGCAAAAATACAGAATGGTTTGCCATTTCCTTCTCCAGTTCATTTTATAGATGAGGAACTGAGGCAAACAGGGTTAAGTGACTTGTCCAGAGTCACACAGATAGTAAGTATCTGAGATTTGAACTCAGGAAGAGGAGTCTTTCTGACTCGAGGCCTGATGCTTTATCCACCGCACCACCTACCTGCCCTAGAAATATGGTGTATCCCGGTGTATCAAGAACCATTTGTTCTTCAACTTTGTTTTGGGCAATTGGGGTTAAGTGACTTGCCCAGGGTCACACAGCTAGTAAGTGTCAAATGTTTGGTCTGAGACCGGATTTGAACTCAGCTCCTCCTGACTTCAGGGCTGGTGATCTATCCACTGCGCCACCTAGCTGCCCCTGTTCCCCAACTTTGAAGAGGAGAATAGCCTCCTAACTTCCTTCACCCAGGCTGTGCCCAAAAGCTTATCCTATAATCTGCTCTGCCCTGCTAATTTCAGAGGAGGGAGAAAAACCTCCTTTGTTAGTGACCCAGGAGCACTATTGTGCCAGCATAATAGTGCTTTAAGGTTTGAAAAGTGCTTTATAAATATTTCATTTTATCCCCACAACATCCCTGGGAGGTAGAGTTATCATTTTACAGATGAGAAAACTGAGGCTAAGAGAGATTTAGTGATTTGGTCACGATATATAGCTAATAAGTATTTGAGTTAATTCCTGATTCTAAATCTGGCACTTGGTCCATTATACCACCTACTTGCCTCACATAGTTAACATATGCATAGCAAGCTGGGTGGGGCATCTAGATGGCACTGTGGATAGAGCACTGGACTTTGAATCAGCAAGACTCATTTTTCCAGTCTTGGAGTCAAGAGGACCTGAGTTCAAATGCAGCCTCAGACACTAGCTATGTGACCCTGGGCAAGACATTTAATCCTGTTTGCCTCCATTTCCTTATCCGTAAAATGAACTAGAGAAGAAAATGGCAAACCACTCCAATGTCTTTGCTAAGAAAACCCCAAAATGGAGTCATGAAGAGTTGAACATGACTAAACAACAACAAATAACAGGAATACCTCTATGGGACAGGGCAGTCAAATTCCCATTATGTTCAACCACCAAACAAAGGACCTAGTGGGTAGAAAGTCACTTTTACTCCTATCTTCATTTCTCCCCTCAGTTCTATAACCCAGACAAGGGCAAGTCATTGCCAAAGAAAGTTGTCCTCTGCGATGATCTAGTTCTTGTGATGACCTCTGAATAACCAGGAGAAAAACCAAGGGCCTGTTCTTCCAATCCCACGCTGATCCTTGGGTTCTGGGTTTATACTCAACAGCAAAGTTCCCAAGCGAGGGGCTGTGGGAAGTAGGGATGGTTTGATCTCAATCCTTAGGTTCTCTTCACAGCACTGACTTATTTCTTTACAGAAAACAGGCCGATTATGAAAAGTCTGACTTTGCCAGCCCTCTCCCTCCCAATGAAGTTGGTGAGCCTTGAAGAAGCTCAGGCTAGGAGTCTGGCTACTAACCACCCTGCACGCAAGGAGAGGAGGGAGAATAGCCTGCCTGAGATTGTGCCTTCCACAGGAGCCCTCTTCCACACTGTCCTTGAGTTACCAGACAGCAAGTAAGCTTGTATTTTTTTATCCTAAGCAGTTACACATATTTCAGTGCTGGGAAATTTTAAGAGCAGGTTGGAGAAGCAAGGAATGGCTTTCCCACTTCTCTGCCAGCTGAGGAGGGCAATTAAACAAGGTTATATTAAGCATCTATTATGACTGACTGAGTGCTAAGCCCTATGCTAGATGTTGAGGATAGAGGTTTGAGGAATAAAACAATCCCTACTCAGAAGGCTCTTATTATATTCTAATGGGGGAGGTATCAACTAAATATATAAGTATATACAAGCATAAAAAGAAAGTTAATAAATACAAATAAATATAAATGCAGCTAAATATAAAGTAATTTAGAGGGAGCGCACCAGCATTTGGGAGTAACAAGAAAGGCTTCATGCAAGAGGTGATACTTAAGTCAAGTCTTAAAGGAAAAGAGAGCCTCCATGAGTGAAAAGTAAGGAGGGAATGAGTTACAGGCATGGGGAATGACCAGTGCAAAGTTTTGGAGTCAGGAGATAGAATGTTGGGTGTGAGTTACATAGAGAAGGCCAGATTAACTGGATCACAGAGTGTAGACAGAAGAATACTGTGTCCATAAAGGCTAGGAAGATGAGTTGGGGTCAGCTTTTGAAAGACTTTAAAAGCTCAATAGAAAATTTTTTATTTTATTTGAGAAACAATAGAAAGGGATAGAGAGGATGAGATATATTATCACGATACCTTTATATATTTTTGAGAGGCAATAGGAAGCACCTGGACTTGTCTAAGTAGGTCATGCTTAGATCTTTGTTTAAGGAAAATCACCGGGGCAGCTAGGTGGTGCAATGGATAAAACTCCGGCCTTGGAGTCAGAAGGACCTGAGTTCAAATTTGGTCTCAGATGCTTGACACTTATACTAGCTGTGTGACCCTGGGCAAATCACTTAACTCCAGTTGCCTCACAAAAAGAAAGAAAAGAAAAAAGGAAAATCACTTTGGCAGTGTGTAGGATAAAGTCCAGCTGGGGGAAATTTGAGGCAGGGAGACCAATTGGGAGTCTGTTGCAGTAATCTAGACCAGTCAGTCAACCAACTAGCATTTATTAAGGTAACTATATGAGTGGAGGGAAAGAGTCAAGGGCAAGACATGTCATATTTTCTCCCAAGACAGACAAGGCAAGAGAAAAAAGAAACAATTTCCAGAATTCTGGTACCAATCTCATCACTCCCTGCAGTTCTAGGAGAATTCTTCTGTCCCAGGAATCGTTTGATTTCTATCGGGTAGATAACCTTCCTGTGTAGCTGTGCATTTTTTCCCAGCTTATTACTCCACCTGGGATGCATTATTCACATAGTTATACAGCTCTGTGAAATATACTCGAACTCTGGCTGCCTGGAAGACCCTAGAGCGAGCGGACCTCTAGCACTGAGGATGATCTCTCCTGCTTCTCTGTCTCCCTCTATTGGCCGTTTTGCTGTTTGTTTTTAGAAATATACTATCCTTGTAACGCTTAAGTCCCATGTAAATGACTTGAAATCTTCAGAGCAAGGACATTGTGCAGAAATAGACACCTATTGTCGGGGTCAGTTCCTACTTGAGCTGAATCCCCGAGCTTCTCCAAACAAGCACAGGGCTTGGGCTCTGCTCCCCCTGGTGGTTTCTTGATTTACTGCACTTTCTCAGAGTATTGCCTGCTCCTCCCTTTCTCTGAAAGAAATAAAAATAAAGGTCATAAACTGAACTCTCTCCATGGCTCAGATTGCCCATCCCCTACGTTTGCAATAGCTATAGAGACCAATGGAAAGCAGAAATGGGCAGTGTCTCCTTATAAAAAACCTGCTTTCAATTCAGGTTTGCAGCTAATTTAAAGTATGTCTCCCCAGCCCGTGAAGTTGTCAAGGATCTTTTTCTCCGTTATTGATGTCATAGCAATGAAGACCATGAGGGCATGTCCAGTAGGTAGCCTGAGAAGTCTAGTTATTATTGGCTTGGAGACCCTTGCAAAGTTCTCCCCTTATTTTCCATGTACTAGAGCTCTTTAGGGAGCTTCTCAACTAGCTCTCTTCAATGTCTTTTGGCCATCATCACTTCCGTGTCCCCACAAGAACCTTGGATTCCCTCTGCTGGAACTGCCCGAGGCTCTAGTTGGAAAGTTTTCACCTTATCTTGCCCAGATCCAGGTTTCCACTTCACTTCCTGGCCATTCCACTTTATACCTTCTTCATTTATTCCATCATCTTCATGTCTTCCCTACTAGAACCTTGGAACTTGGAACCACTCCCCACATAGGTGGTACAGTGGATACAGCACTGGACCTAGAGTCAGAAAGACTTGAGTTCAAATTTGACCTCTACTTATTAGCCATGTGACCCTGGGCAAGTCACTTAACCACTGTCTGCCTATTTCCTCAACCATAAAACAGGGATAATAGCACTTTCATTCTAGCATTGTTATGAGAATCAATAATTTTTATGGTTTTATAATTTTACATATAATACAAATTTTCATATTACAAATAATATTTGTAAATGATTGTTCCTTTTTCTTCCTAGCATAACCTTCCATGTAAACCTTGGTTTGTCTATTGATTGACAGCCACTGTCCAAGTTTAGGATTCCATCATCCCTCACCTGCACTATTTCATTCAATCATCATCACCCACACCCATGCCCATGAACTTTGCTTTGTAGTTATTATTTCTAAATATTGTATTTATAACTTTTAGATAAATAAATAGATAGAAACATTGAGCATTTATTAAGTAAGCACTTAATACATTCCAAGTTTCTTTCCAACTTACCCCGTTAGAAAGTAAACTCCTTGAGGGCAGAGACTGCCTTGCTTATCTTTTGGTCCTCAGCACTTAGCATAGTGTCTGGCATATAGTAAGTGCTTAAATGCTCAATGAAATAGTTTAGGGGAAAGTTGAGGGATCCTGAAGGGTGATGGCAAATCAACAAATATGTATTAAATAGCTACAATGTGATAAGGCACCATGCCACAGACACCGTGATGAAAAGGAAATAATCCTTGCCCTCAGGGAGCTTACACACTTTTGGACTGTGTTGAGGTTTGCACCGTGTGTTCATGGTAGAACCCTTGTCCACATAGTACCCAGCCCTTTCCCCTTCAGGTAACATTTAAATTTTTTATTTATTAAAAAAAAATGTTTTTTTAATAGTTGTTTTTATGTCACCTTCATTTTTTAATATCCTCCTACCTTCTCCCCTCCCCAGCAACCCATCCCTTATAACAAACAATAGAAAAAGACAGGGGAAAACAAAGTCTGATGAGCAAAACTAACCAAACTATAAACTGGGTCTGACAGTATTTGCAATGTTCCATACTTATAGTGCCCCACCTATACAGAAATGGGATGGAGAATTTTTTTCTCATCTCTTCTTTGGGGACAAGCTTATATACATCACTCTTTAGTACTTATAAATTTTATTGATACCTGTTTATACCAACTACATGTCCTATCATCTCTCTCTTGCTTCTCAGAGAATTATCTTTTATAAATTAAGTTAAATAAAAAGGAAGAAAAAATTTTCAATCCACAAAATTAATGAACATTGCAAAGAAGTTTTACATCCCATGTAGTGTGTATATATAATGCAGTGACATTATATGTATACCTTTGGTCCCCCACTTTTGGAGCACATCTCCTATCAATACCGCAATACTTCTGTGTAATCAGACTGCCCCTTAGGAGTACTAGAAGTGATTCTTTTCCTTTGCCTATTCGAATATGAACTGGGACATTCATTACATGGCCCTCCTTGATCATAGGGAAACATTGGGATGAACTTGTTTTTTCCAGAGAGTAAGTTCCTAAATGTCATGTTCATCTGTTGCTAAGGAAACATCATGATTAAGAATGTAATTGCAAAGTTCTTTGTATAAGAGGAAAGTACCATCGAAATTTATTATTGTTGTTCTGTTATCTTCAGTTGTGTCCAACTCTTTGTGACCCTATTTGAGGTTTTCTTGGCAGAAATACTGGAGTAGTTTGCCGTTTCTTCCAGCTCATTGTACAGGTGAGGAGACTGAGGCAAACAGTGACTTGCCGAGGGTAACACAGTTAGTAAGTGTCTGAGGTGGGATTTAAACTCATGAAGATGTCTTCCTGATTCCAAGCCCAGTGCTCTATCTACTGTGCTACCCAGCTGCCTGCCATCTAAATAGTAAACAATAAAAATAATTGTTGTTAATTTTTTTTTTTAGAAGGAAACTCTCTAGTAAATCTAAGAAGTGGAAGTCAATATTTAACCTGGGACGTTCTGGCTCAGATTCAAAATCCAAGCTGAACCGGAATGGAAGTGTATTTGTGAGAGGACAGAGGCTTTCTGGTAAGCATGCTATTTTATGGTCTGTCTTCACCAGCTCAGCTCCTTTCCTTCTTTGGTTTGGGCATGCAGAACTCTCTAGCCCTGAAAGATAAACTTATATGTCAATCAAGATGATCATGACCCTTAAATATAAGCATGTTGAACTTTTTCTCTTTTATTCTTCAACTTTTTAAAAACATTTTTATTTAAAGTTTTGAGTTGCAAATTCTATCCCTCCTTTCCTCCCTCCCCTTCCACCTCTTTGGGACAGTAAGCAATCAATATAAGTTACACATGTGCAATCTTGTAAAACATTTCCATATTAGTCATTTTGTACAAGAAGAATCAAAATAAAAAAAATGAAAGAAAGTGAAAAATAGCATGCTTCAGTCTGTATTCAGACAATATCAGTTCTTTCTCTAGAAGCGCATAGTATGCTTCATCATTAGTCCTTTGGGATTGTCTTGGATCATTGTATTGCTGAGAATAACTAAGTCATTCACAGTTCTTCATCAAACAATATTGCTGTTACTGTGTACAACATTCTCCTGGTTTTGTTCACTTCACTATGCATCAGTTCATGTAAGTCTTTCCATGTTTCCTGAGATCCTTCTGCTTGTCATTTCCCATAGCACAATAATATTCCATTACAATCAAATATCACAGCTTGTTTAACCATGCCCCAATTTAAGGGTAACCCTTCAATTTCCATTTCTTAGCCACCACAAAAAGAGCTGCTATAAATATTTTGTACAAATAGCTCTTTTCCCCTTTTTTCAGATGTCTTTGGGATATAGATCTAGCAGTGGTATTGCTAGATCAAAGGGTATGCGCAGTTTTATAGCTCTTTGGGCGTAGTTCCAAATAGCTCTCCAGAATGGTTGGATCAGTTCACAACTCCACCAACAGTGAATTAGTGTCCTAGTTTTCCTATTTACCCTCCAACATCCAACATCCAACATTTTTCTTTTTTGTCATATTAGCCAATCTGATAGATGTGAGGTGGTGAGGCGTGAGTTGTTTTAATTTGCATTTCTCTAATACATAGTGATGTAGAGCATTTTTTCATATGACTATAAATTGCTTTGATTTCTTTGTCTGAAAACTGCTTGTTCATATCCTTTGACCATTTATCAATTGGGGAATGACTTGTACTTTTACAAATTTGACTCAATTCTGTATGTATTTGAGAAGTGAGGCCTTTTTCAGAGATATTTGTTACAAAAAAATTATTTTCCCAGTTTTCTGCTTTTGTTATAATTTTGCTTGCATTGGTTTGTTTGTGCAAAAATTTTTAAATTTTATATAATCAAAATGATCTATTTTGTACTTTGTAATGCTCTCTATATCTTCTTTGGTGCTAAATTCTTCCCTTATCCATAAATCTGACAGATAAACTATTCCATGCTCTCTTAATTTGCTTATGGTCTCATGTGTATCAATTATGTGTAAATCACATAACCCATTTTGACCTGATCTTGGTATATGGTGTGAAATGTTGGTCTATACCTAGTTTCTGTCATACTGTTTTCCAGTTTTCTCAGCAGTTTTTGTCAAATAATCGATTTTGTTCCAAAAGATTGGACCTTTGGTTTTATCATAAATTAGGTTACTATAATCATTTGCTATAATGTAATTTATACCTAATCTATTCCACTGATCCACCACTCTATTTCTTAGTCAGTACCAGGTTGTTTTGATAATTACCACTTCATAATGCAATTTAAGATCTGGTAGGGCTAGATCACCTTCTTTCACATTTTTTTTTCATTGATTCCCTTGATATTCTTGAGTTTTTGTTCTTCAGATGAATTTTGCTATTATTTTTTCTTCTATAAAGTAATTATTTGATAATTTGATTGGTATGGCACTGAATAAATAGATTAATATAGGTAGGATTTTCATTTTTATTATTGTCTCGGCCTACTCATGAGCAATTAATATTTTTTCAATTACTTAGATCTGACTTATTTGTGTGAAAAGTGTTTTATAGTTGTATTCATATAGTTCCTGGGTTTGTCTTGGCAGGTAGAGTCCCAGGTATTTTATATTGTCTACAGTTATTTTAAATGGAATTTCTTTTTCTATCTGTTGCTGCTGGACTTTGCTGGTAATATATAGAAATGCTGATGAATTATATGGGTTTATTTTGTATCCTGCAACTTTGCTAAAGTTCTTAATAATTTCAAGTAGTTTTCTAATTGATTCGCTAGGATTTTCTAAGTATAACATCATATCTGTAAAGAGAGATAGTTTTGTTTCTTCATTGCTTATTCTAATTCCTTTAATTTCTTTCTCTTTTCTTATTACTGTACCTAACATTTCTAGTACAATATTAAATAATAGAAGTGATAATGGGAATCTTTGCTTCACTCCTGGTTGTAGTAGGAAGACTTCTAGCTTATCCTCACTACAGATTATGCTTACTGATTATTTTAGATAAATATCACTTATATCTGCCTTTTCTCTATTGATATAAGCAATTAAAGTTATATATTTCCCCCTAAGTACCACTTTGGCTGCATTCCATAAATTTTGTTAAGTTGTCTCATTGTTGTCATTTTCTTTGATGAAATTGTCTGTTATTTTTATGATTTATTCTTTGACCCACTTATTTTTTAGGATTAGATTATTTAATATCCAATTAATTTTTAATTTCTCTTTCCATTGTTCATTATTGAATGTAACTTTTATTGCATTATGATCTGAAAAGGATGCATTTAGTATTTCTGCTTTTCTGCATTTGGTTGTGAAGTTTTTGTGTTCTAATACATGGTCAATTTTTGTGTGGGTGCTATGTACTGCTAAGAAAAAGGTATATTCTTTTCTAACCCATTCAGTTTTCTCCAGAGGTCTATCATATCTAACTTTTGCAGAATTTTATTCACCTCCTTAACTTCTTTCTTGTTTATTTTCTGGTTAGATTTATCTAGTTCTGGGAGGGGAAATTTGAGGTCCCCCATTAATATAATTTTATTATCTATTTCCTCCTGTAACTCATTTAACTTCTCCTTCAAGAATTTAGATGCTATACCATTTGGTGTATATATGTTTAGTATTGATATGACTGCATTGTCTATAGTACCTTTCAGCAAAATATCATTTCCTTCCTTAGCTCTTTTAATTAGCTCTATTTTTTATTTTGCTTGGTCTGAGATCATGATTGCTACCCCATCTTTCTTTGTTTTAGTTGAAGCATAATAAATTCTGCGCCAGCCTGTTGCCTTTACCCTGTGTGGGGATGTGTTTCTTATAAACAACATATTGTAGGATTCTGCTTTTTAATCCATTTCACTATCCACTTCCATTTTATGGATAAGTTCATCTCATTCACATTTATAGTTATGATAACTATGTATATCCCTCCATGCAATTTTTTCCTTATTTACCTCCTTCTCTCTCTAACCCCCCTCTCACCCTCTCCCTCCTCATAAGTGTTTTACTTCTGATCACCACCTTTCTCAATGTACCCTCTCTTTTTATCAGCCCCCTCAACTTCCATTATCCTCATCCCTTTTTAATTTCTTGTAGGGTAAGACAGATTTTTGTATCCAACTGAGTGTGTATATTATTACCTCTTTGAGCCAATTTTGATGAGAGTAAGGTTTAAACTTTGCCCACCATCCCTCATCTTCCCCTCCATTATAATAGCTCTTTCATGCCTCTTTTATGTGGGATAATTTACCCCATTCCATCTCCCCCCTCCTTCTTCCAGTGAAGTTTTCTTTCTTACCCCTTTATTTTGTTTTTGGGGGTATCATCCCATCAAAATCACCTTGCATTCACACCCTCTGTCTATATATACTCCTTCTAATAAAGTTCTTAAGAGTTACAAATATTATCTTGCCATATAGAAATATAAACAGTTTAATCTCGTTGAATTTCTTGTTTTCTCTTTCTTGTTTCTTTTTTACTTTTTTATTTTCCCTTGAGTCTTGTATTTGGAGGTCAAATTTTTTTATTCAGCTCAGGTCTTTTAATTAGGAAAGCCTGAAAACTCTCTATTTCATCAAATGTCCATTTTCCCCCCTAAAAAAACTGTATTCAGTTTTGCTGGATAGGTAACTTTTGGTAGTAATCCTAACTCCTTTGCCTTGTGGTATGTAATATTCCAAGCCCTCCAGTTCTTTAATGTGGAAGCTCCCAAGTACTGTGTGATCCTAACTGTAGCTCCACAATATTTGAATTGTTTCTTTTTGGCTGCTTGCAGTACTTTTTCCTTGATCTGTGAGCTCTGGAATTTGACTGCGATGTTCCTGGGAGTTTTCATTTTTCACTTTTGTAGGTGGTGATTGGTGGATTCTTTGAATTTCTATTTCACCCTCTGGTTCTAATATATCAGGGCAGTTTTCTTTGATAGTTCCTTGAAAGATGTTGTCCAGTCTTTTTTTGTTTTTATCCTGGCTTTCAGGTAGTCTAATAATTCTTATATTATCTCTCCTGGATCTATTTTCTAGATTAATTGTTTTTCCAATGAGAAATTTCATGTTTTCTTCTATTTTTTTTTAACTTTTTAGGTTTTGTTTTATTGATCTTAATGGCTCATAGAATCATTAGCTTCCACTTGCTCAATTCTAATTTTAAAGGTATTGTTTTCTTCAGTAAGCTTTTTTACTTCCTTTTCCATTTGGCCAATTCTATTTTTTAGGGAGTTATGTTCTTCACTAAATTGACTCTTTTTTCATGATTCTCTTGTATTACTCTCATTTCTTTTCCCAATTTTTCTTCTACTTCTCTAACTTGCTTTTAAAAATCCTTTTTAAGCTCTGCCAAAAATATTTTTTGGGCCTGAGACCAAATTACATTTTTCTTTGGGGCCTCACATAAAGCCATTTTGACACTATTGTCTTCTTCTAATTATATGCCTTGATCCTCCCTATCACCATAGTAACTTTCTATAGTCAGGCTCTTTGTTGATGTTGTTGTTTGCTCATTTTTCTGACTTTTTTGTCACTTGCTGTTTTTATGTTAAAGTTGGGCTCTGGTCCTGCACTGTCCCTAATTTTTGTGCTGGGGCTCAG